GGTATCGGTACATGCTGGGATTGAAAACAGCATGCGGAAAGTCTTGTCGACCTCCTGCATGGCGAACAGACTGGCTGTTTACCTGTCATGCAAGTGCTATGACAATTCGGCAGCCATGATCCTGGAGATGTCGGCAACACTTGCACCAAGGTCGTATCATTGACGTCCGACAGGGCAGGAATGGCCGAGAAGATCTCCCGTCACCCATCTCAAACGGCAAGAACAGCCGTGGTCTCCTTCCATGGCTGACCCGCCCACCCAGACATCAAACCCAGACTCACACCCTAGACTCAGACCAAAGACCCACGAGGAAGGAGCTTCCAAGCACCCTTGTCTAACCTTCCTTACCTTTCCTGATTAGAGTAGGAAAGTTAGAATAGACTATCGTAAAACAGAGACGGTAAGGTACGTGGACCCTCTGGGGTTGCTTCGGCATGAAGCGCGACTGCAAGGTAGGAGATGCTGTGAGGCAAGGCAGACTGTAACGCAGGTTGGCACAGAGCATCACTTTCAACCCCAACTCCGCTTGCGCCGCAGCCTCACTCCCCTCCATCCATGGATGAACCTTCATGACGAATCCCTGTCCACCCACGATACCTTCTTTGGGAGTGAGGTAAGGTAGGGTACGCGTGCATGGAGGAGCCATCATCCTTGATGGTGGCAGCTGGTTGATCCTCGTTATGTGCTTCAGCCAGACAACCCCACGTCGATGTCAAGCATTTCAGCAAGGCAAAGCCCAAACCTTAAGCTCCTGGCGATCATTTCATTGTCTTCGTACGCACTCCGCCTTTTCCAACGCCAAAAGCCAGCCGCGACATGTCGGAGGGCAGGTAACCCTGGTCTCTGTCTGGCCCGTTGCTGCAGCTGCGAATAGCAGCACGGCAGATTCCAAATCGAAGATCTGAGGCGTCAAACCCGCTGTATATCCCCCCCGCTTGCTACTAGCCCTGCGGACAAGAACCCTGATTTCTAATTATGGTATTGTGCCTGGCCTACTAGGAAACCGTGCGTGCGATCGCGAAACGGCAGAGGCGCAGGTAGCACTGGCCAGGGTCGTGGCACGGGGACACTGTCTTGGGAGCTGGGACTCGACACCAAACGGACTAGCTCCATCTCGAGACATTTGGCTCGTTCCTCGGCAAGGTTGAGACTTGGCTTGTCGGATCCCAAGTCTCTTGTCGCTGATTATTCGCTCAACTTTGAACCCCGTCTCCATCGATCAGGTGACGAATACTTAGGTTTCAATTGGCTTCGCCTTCTCACCAAGCTCTTCACTGCCCATATCGAGGCCTTGATGTGATGTCTCGGTCACGTTGCGTTGTGCTTGTGGATGCATCTGTCACTGGTCTGGGGCCAGTGCAACTTTAGCTGCAGGTGTTGTGCTTCCAGAAGCTAAGGAACTCACCTCACCTCTGTGCAGTGTAAAGAACTTCCGGATCTATCCTATTGCAGGCATGCGCCCCGAAGACCTTTTTCAATGCTTGTCTAGTCTGCTTGACGATTGACCCTGACTGAATTGTTCGGCATAGACTTACCACTGGATGCTTAGGATCTGGAGAAACGCTGAGCAGCCTTCCGCAACCAGACGATGCAGCAGCAACACTGATGACGAAAGCTCCAAAATCAACCATCACATAGTGAGCGGTAACCCGACCGGTTATGCAAGAGTCAATCTTATGGGACGGCTCGTCATGCAAGCCCGCGCACGGCAACAGCCCTATCGAAGGGAGCTTGCGCAAGGATTGAGACCCATCTCGGTGATTTCGGGGGCCACGGCCGGTCAAGTGGGGATGAAATGCGGTTAATTTGACGATCGACGACGAGGTTTCCCGCCTTGCAGGCCATCTTTGCGGCGGTCGCACCATCAAAAGCGCCCTCCTGGCTCCCCGGCCAATGAGACCCAACTTAACGCAACCTTTCGTGTGTCGAATCTGACCCAGCATAGAAGCTCTACGCAAACTCTCTCTTCATTGGTCTTTTAGAGCCCAGCCGATGACAAAGGCATCAACGTTTTTCGTACCTCTGTGACTTTCAATAGCCTCAACGTTTCAAAGCAGACGCTACATTGACGTGACCGATACTGCGGGCCCAGTCACTCGGCTGACCGATTCATCAGTCAGTCAGTCGGGTATGCATTCACAAGCAGCGGTATGTCGAGCTCCTTGAGTGCACTATCCATCACATGACAGTTGAAGAATGCGGGAAGAGGTATTCATTGAGATATTCTTGCTTCTGCTAGGCTTGCACCAGCCTGGTATCTACTGTATAGAAGTTGGCTGTCCTCATGGAATGTTCCAATGATTTACTAGTCTTCGATCTGCCGTTGGGGTGGTTGGAAGCTCCGGGTTCAAGTCAACGGGAGCCATCACCGACGTTGCATTATTCTTTGATGGGCACGTGGCCGAACGCTCTCTCTCTTGCTTGCACCTAAGCTTCAGCTACCACCGTGAGCTCGACTATGCCTGGAAGGGAACTGGCGGGTAGGCGCAGCAGTTTCACGTTAAGCATGTCGTGTGTACAACGCCCTGCCAGTTTCGCATGCAGCTAGGATCTCCGACCGCGCTTTATGCCGAGACAATATAACCCATGCATCAGGCTGTTGGTATTCTGAGAAGGCATGCTTGTCCCTGCACCAGTTCCTTCCTTGGCGGCAAGGTCGCTATCCAAGGAAAGAAAGCCTCCAAAGATAGGGTCTTGGCAATGGTAGCCAGAGGAGAGAGAGGAATAGCTTGTGAAGCAGAGATCCGAACAGGAGGACATCTCCAGCTCGAGAGGCTCAAGTTTCAACTGCCCCGCCCGGTTGGTTCAGGACCTGAGCTTTTTGAGTTCTGGTCCACTACATGCGGCAGTCCGGGGGGTCAGTTAGTGTTCCATCGAGATCCGCTAATGAATTCCCCGCTAGCTTGGACGTGAATATTTTTGGCACCTCTTGCGTATGGGATCAACATGGCCTCGCCTTAGCCATCGTCAGTCTTATCGATAGAAGGAGGAAGCGCCCCACGGCAGCTCCCCTCATTCATTCCTAGTCGAGTAATTCATCCACACCAGCAATCCTCGGCCTTGCTGCTCGTCACCGCTAGCACCGCTAGCCCGTGGATGTTCCAGAGAGCGGCAGGCTGGAAGTTGGAACAAGCCCAAGGTGCTGTCTGTCTGTCTGTCTGTCTGTCCATCTGCGTGTGGTAGCTGCATGACATGGCCTTGCATATTTGCCAATGCCGGCAAAAAGTAGCCCCCAATGCGCTTCGAGTGCACTGCCGTCCCTGAGCAGCAGTAGGGTCCCTGAGCCGTGATTTGACAAGATCTGAAGAGCAACAAGAGGTGGAAAAAACCTGGATCAATGACTGGAGGCTCCGGCCCAGGAAAAGCAGGACTCCATTCAACCGTCCATGTTGCACCAGCCGGGCCGGCCAGCAAACCCGGCTTGCTGAATTCAATACACCTCCAGATGGATCTCAAGTCGGCCGTGAAGAGATGCACACATCTACACACCACAGATCACAGAACAGTAGACTAGTGTAGATGGACCCCCAACACATGATAGAACCCGTAGGTAGGCGCACACGTAACAAGGCCAGACGTCAGTTGCATCGGCGTCCACCCTGGCAAACGCAGGCTAGCGCAGGAGATGGGGACTTCTCTTCCCTTGCGAGCGAGCGGCAGCCACAACGGAAAGTCTGCTAATCCTGGAGCGATCCACTGTAGGTAAGTAGGTAGGCACTGTGGTGTAGTGTAGTGTAGTGTAGCAGTGAGCAAATCCCCCCCTCTTTGTGTCGATGCAAGTTCCAAGTACTTGCTCCGGCGCAAGACAAGTCTTGACAGGCCTGACTGGGGCAACGTTTTCTTCGCCTGTTTGATGCTTGTTTGGGGGGATGAACCCTGCTGCCACACTCATGCTGGTCGAAACATTGACCGGGCCCGTCACCTACCCTGTCCGGGCCAGACAGATCTCTGGATGGATCATGGATTGGGTGAGTGAGCCAGCAGGTTAGCAAGTAGCAAGTAGCAAGTAGCGGCAAGCAGAGTAAAGCAAAGCAAAGCAAGCAAGCAACGAGATGTCATGTCTTCTGGTCTTCTCTAACCCCTCCTCCCCTTGGAGCCCTCCCCTTGAGGCATATAAGTCAAATACCATCAAATGCTCGCTCGCTGGCCATTATTTCTTTCCTGCTCATCGTGGATTTTTTACCGTCTCCCAAGCTCACAAACGGCGACTCACAGGCGGCACATGAGAGAGAGAGAGAGAGAGAGAGAGACAGAGAGACAGAGAGAAAGCGAGATACAGAGCACGCCTTGCCTTGCCTTGCTTTGCTTTGCCTCGCCTCGACTTGGAGCATCCCTGACCCTTACCTACCTAACCTAACCAAACCTACTACCTACCTACTCGCACACAATCTTAGTACGCCTACACCTAAGCCCAACACCCCGCCGTCCGTCCTTCACCCACCTTCGGCCCTTCCCTCCTCAACCCAGAATTGATTTTGTTAGGCGAAGATCATTCCACAGACTCCTGAAATTTATCAAAACGACACTCTCTCCAAACGGCGGCTAAGGTCCAGTCCAATAGCACAACTTTCCAGAAGGTCGCTATCGGCTAAGAGCAAACCAAATCTTCATCACTTCCGCCCTTCGTCCGATCTGCTTGTTTGTTTGTTTGTTTGTGTGTGCCTGCCTTATACAGACAAAGAGTCAAAAGTCAGTCGAGACATCCTTCTGATATCCCAAGCCTAGCAACCCCTGCACGCACTGGACTGGCCAGCCTGACCACTCAACCTGCCCACGGCACTTGCCAGGCATATCCCATCCCTCTCGGTCATTAGCCATTCCTTCCTTTCACACTGTTGCCTCTTGGTCTTTGCCCACGCTTTCTTTTATCACGTCACTGCTGTGGGACCCTCCTTCAGACATTTTGGATTCCTCGCCTTATTTGTGGAGATAAGAAAGCTGAGACCTTTGGGAACCAACAGTCCTCATCAAGCAAGAGACAGACAGATCTACCGAAAAAAATGTCCAAGCTCTTCATTGGGTAAGTGACGATCTACAGCCACTAGCGCTGTGCTGGACTGTGCTGCTTGAAGTCCCCTGTAGCTAACCGTGACTCAGCGGCCTTGCCTGGCACACGGAAGAGGCCACGCTGCGGCAGAAGTTCGAGGAGTTCGGCGTGGTCGATGAAGCAGTACGTTGGTCGGCCTTTCCTTCAGTAGTTGCCGTTTCCTCCTCCCGCGCAGCTAGGCTGTCCGGGCGGAAGGTTTTGTTTTCGAGGGTGCGGAATGTAAATCTAATGATACTCTGTTGTTTCTCTCCAGGTTGTCGTCAAGGACCGGGACACTGGTCGCAGCCGAGGGTTTGGGTTCGTGCGCTACACGAACGAAGATGATGCTCAGAAAGCGATCTCTGCAATGAATAACGTCGAGTACGGTGTGCCAGCGCTCTGTGGATCACAGTGATTGCCTAACATTCCGTGCTTCTAGGTTCGACGGGCGAACGATCCGCGTTGACAAAGCCTCGGACACTGGCCCTCGAGGCGGCTACCCAAGCGGCCGAGGCGGCGGCGGCGGCGGCTATGGACAGCGAGGCGGTTTCGGCGGTGCTCCTCAGATGCCCCAGATGGCCTATGGAGTTCATCCTGGACAGCAATACCAGATGCCACCTCCACAGATGGCGTACGGCCAACAATACGGCCGAGGCGGTGGCTATCCCCAACCGGCTCCGGGGTACGGAACGCCACCACAGCAGGGTGAGCCAGACGTGTGTACTTGAAATGGAAAGAAATAGTGACTGACACGAAGGAAAGGCTGGCAACAACCCGCATACGGCTACCCAGACCAGCAGGGGCAGCAACAGCAGCCTCCCCAGCAGCAACCACCGCAGGGAGGACAGGGATACTAAACGACAATTGGGATCCGTATGGCTGTCTGACAACAGCCGCGACAACGACCATTTGGCCGTAACAGTGATCCTTGAATAACAAGAAAGCTGACCTACCTCTCTCTCTCTAACAACCAAAAAAACGCGGCGTATAACATATATACGCCTACCCAGTGTGTACGATCAAGCTTAGATGTCGACTGGCTTTATGCCTGCGGCACAACATCCCTGGTCTCCGATTCACAACGGGCTGACAAAAGCTCTCCCCCCAAAACCCTCCATGAACGCCTTCGCTTTCAAGTCTGCCGTTTCCGCATGAACCTTTATTTCTTCAAAAATTCTTTGTTACGTTTTTTTCCCCTGCTGCTTTTGCTTCACCTGCTTTTGTGTTATGGAATATCTTTATCGTTACGTTTCTGCTTCCACGACGACATATGCCTGGTTAGGGCTCGAGACGGGACGGGACGAACGACATCTACACCACGACGGGATACCAGTGCATATAGAGATATGAAGGAGGGTGAGGGAGGGATGGATGGATGGATGGACAGGCAGGTAGGTGGATGGGGGATAGGGGGGAAATTGGCTCGAGGGAGGAAGCATGAGACCTTTTGGGGCAAAAAGACCCATTGATGATTGGGGAACCATAGGCGAGAGAGAGGCAGAGAGGGAGAGAAGAAAAAGGGGTGGGTTAGCAGACTTTCTTTGCAGAATAAAAAAAATTATGCGTTTCAGCGACTTTTCTCAGTCTCTTCTTGCTCATCTATGCTGCTGACTTTTCTGAACTCGTGATGAGTAGCAGAGTTGGTAGTAGTAGTAATATCTTCTTCTTCTTGAGGTTTGACAGGAGGAGGCGAACGCATGATGTCGTTGGTGTCTAAATTGACCTGATGATCTTGATCTCCCGCCGCCGCCTTCGCCGCCGCCGTCCTGCTCGCAATAATGGCCCGGACCCGATTGGACAGGTCCGTGACGTGCTCATCACCACTCTCCGGACTCAGCTCGTCCAGCGCCCGCTCCAGGCCCAGCAGGTAGTCGCGGTTCAGCCCGCTCGGGCCCTCGCTCCGGTAGATGTGCTCGGCCAGCGCCTGCACCTCCTGCGGGCCGGTGAACTGGTCGTTGTCGGGCGTCCCGATGTACACGAGCGTGCGGATGGGCCCGGCCGACGAGCCCTCCGCCGGGTAGAAGGGCGTGTAGTGGATCGTGTACCCGTTGATCTCCCGGATGTCCAGATACTCCTTGACCTCTGCTACGTGGTCCCGCTGGATGCGGTACGCGGTGCCCCAGACCTTTTCAGGCGCCGTGGCATGGTGGTCCGTCAGTTGCTCCCAGAAGGCTCGCTCGATCAGCGTGACGACGCGGCCCGGCGCGTCTGGCGTCCCGCGGTGGTCCTGGCTTTGCGGTCGGGGGAACGACTCCTGGTTAGCTAACTAGCCTTGCGCCATTGTTTGCCGCTTTGTTCCCTTCTTGTCTTCTCATAACCTTATTCCAACGTGGTCTAGGGGGGGGGAGGGAAAAACCAGGGGTGGCATACCTTGCCTATACGATCGGTTAATATAAGAGGAGTCCTTGACAAATGTACATAGATCGACTAAGGGGGGGCGTGTGCGGAATACCCAGCGCTGAGGGCTGAAAGCGGCCCGCCGCCCATGCGAGATGAGACGAGATCGCTTGATGCTGCATGAATAGACATGGGATGGCAGGAATGACAAGCAGACGGGAACCAGACTTTGGATAGTATCAAGACAAGGTGAGAAGTACTCAGTACATACCTGCCAGAATCGCCGGACGTAGCCGGTCACCCATCCAGGTATACGTCTGTCTGCCCGGTGAAGAAAGAGAAGTGATCAGCTGCTGCGGACATGGAGCCGACGGGAAAGAACATGATGACCACTCAAGATCATTTTCTTGAAGCTTGGCGGAATTCCGGGTTCAGAAATCATAACGAGAGGATCCAAGAGGATGAGAACGGGGCGAGATACCGAAATGCGGAGGTGGTTTCCAGATCAGGCTCCTGGTTTAAGCATTAGACCATCATGCAGAAAGGCTGGGCAGCTGAAGGGAACACCCCAGGAAGAGAAGAGAGAACAGGTGGAGAGTTTAAAAAGAGATTTGGAATCTCGATGGTGGTGCTCCGGGAGCCCCAACCCACGAAGGAGTAGCAGTCATGCGTAGTTACGTACCCATATCCGAACAACCAGAACTCGTCCTGATCAGCAGGAGTGCCAGCATCCACGACAGTCATTGCTTTGAGTTGTGGTCCTGTTTATAGAAAGCTAAGAAAGTAGAAGGGCGTTGGCGTCATGCAAGGGGGACCGTAAGATAACCGTCTGAGCTCGGGAACCGGCAGAGGAGGAGAGGCGCTTCTGTCGTCGTCTAGCTTCAGATCTAGTCTAAGATATGATGAAGAGAACTAAGGTAGGGCTCCGGAAATTTATGACCTATCGGGGGGTGTCAGATACGAGTGATAGACTAGACAAGAGGCAAAGCGAACGGTATGATGTTCGTCAGTCAGCGAGTCGAACTGTACCTGCGGCAGCGCCGGGTAAAGAGAGACAGACTATGGGGCGGGCGTCGAGTTGCTTCGAGTCGAGTTGAGTCAAATGCACAATGGCGTACTCGAGGCTGCGTTGACGTGCGTGGTGGCTCGGCACGCTTCCCGCCCGGATGGCAAAGCTAAACTAAAATGTATGGGTCGAACGATTGACTCAAACTCACTCTTCACTTCAGTTTAGTTGGTGAGTGGTCGGCCTGTTGGCGGGTGGACTGGATCCGCACCAGTTCGCTTCGCTATCCTCAACGGCGGACGGAGACCCCGAAGCACAACCTTGTTGACTACCTGGGCCCCTATCTCGATCGGGCAACAAATGTACTACACAGATGCAGTATTGGCATGCCAAATGAAGAAGCGAGAGCTCTGATTTGACAGTCTGAAGAGAGATTCAAGGACACGTGATGGCAAACCACAACGTCATCCGTCTCATTGTTGTCACTTGCTTGCTTTGTCGTTTTCTCTTTGGTGACACTCATGCCATTCGTTTAGTCATCCGCAATCGACATGATGATGATGAGGGACGCAATCCCGGAACAGGAGGCTGTTCTGCAGGGGCGCAACGGGTCGCAGCAGTTGATCACCGGCTGTGAGGTGTTCCAGGTTGCGAAACGTGGACTTCTTGGCCAACGAGAGGCAACAGAGACTCAACCACGACGATAAGTGAGACACCGGTCATGCTGGTCGCCTCTCGCTGGGCAATCCTGATCGCAATCAACTGCATCTCGCGTATGACTCCTTGAAGTCTCGGCCAAAACCACTTAGCACCATCAAGAGCGGGAGTCACATTCACAGAGAGATGCTGGAGAATGCAATTTGAGGTTCAATTGTGGAGGGCGAGTTGTGCAGTTGCTTGTTAGGCAAACAGGCGCCCACAGTGACAGGTTGATTGTAGGTATGCCTCCCATGACCACTCTTGTAGCCCGCAACACATGCAATACGCGAGATCAAAAGCAGAAATGATAGCTGTAGCTTCGGATCACGGACGCTGCCTCCTGAGTCTCTGCGACATCCATCAGCCAACTTGAAACCCTGACCCGGTGGCTCCTTATTGACTACCAATTTGCAGGAGGATGAATGACTGCTGTTCATAATGTTCATCCCTAGGACAGACGGCAAGCGTGCAGATTCTCCTATACTCAGTCACGCCTAGAATGAATGCAGTAGCCAACTGCCAATTCTTGACCGAGTCTATTGACCGAAAGCTCGACTTATACGCGTATTTATCGTAATTAAATTGTTGTTGGATAGCTCCTAGCTGCTTGTAGGTATCTGGAGAGAGGGACGACGGTCCCAGGTTATTGGGACTCGGCACACTACCCACGAGCCATCTACTTCAGACTTGATAGCGGCCCGGCTTGCGAGAACACGCGGACAGGTCACTGCCCAGCAGCGCACTGCCCTCCCCGCCCCACGGCCAATCTGCCCCGCGACCGGGCTACCTACCTTTACACACTACCTAACGTTATACACAGCCTGCCTCCAGTGCGCGCCAAACCTGGAACCTCGAGCTTCCCCTCCACCAGTTGAATCGCGCGGCTTTCCGTTGCGGCTGAAAAACCTTTGCATTCTTTTGCGGACTCGTTGCTGCCCAGGGACAATTCCTGAACCTTTGTCCCTCGCAGCTTTTCTCGAAAAGAGTCAGTTGTCGACGGACTTTTCAGACACTCCCTTCGCCAGAAAACCCGCACTCGATACCCCGCCTGCCCGCAATGGCTTACAATAGAAACTACAACCCGGATGAACTCCCTAGGTACGTCTCGAGACTCGGTAGCTACCTCGGGCACCGCAATGCATCTCGTAGCTTGCGAAAGACCAAGACCAGAGTCAATGATGCTAATTTACTTCTCCTAGGTTCGCGGAGCCCGAGCCCGTAAGACATCCCTGCCATAGATCCCGTAGTCTGTCTTCCCCTCGAGCTTCACCATCTAACAGCCCTTTCAGAAAGGCGGCGCCGCCAAAGCAGCTTCTTCAGCTTCCTCGGCCCAACCCTCCCCTCGATATGAGAACAAACCACCTCCGCCACGCCCTCAGGAGCTTCCTCACCGGACATCAGACCCTCGCATGAGCGGCGCTGCTAGCGGGCCTCGTCTCTCGCCCGGACATTCTCCTCACAATTATGGCGCTACCTCGCCGCCTCCGGTAGGCGGTCCCCGACCGGGCGTGCCACAGAACCGCCCTCCGCCTGTGAGCCGGCCTCCTCCCAGTCCTGCGCCGTTGGACCCTGGCGCAGACCCTACGTTGCTGCCGCTCTTCAGGGCTGTGGATAAGGATGGTGAGTGTTGAACCTTGATCTATGATCTCCAAACGATACAGGGAGAATCTATTCCTTATCTGGCGGCTTGCTTCTCCGAGAAGGCCATTGATCACAAGCATTACTGACACGGACATTTCTGTCAGGCACCGGCCAGCTTTCCGAGAAAGAGCTATCAGCAGCGCTCGTCAACGGCGACTGGTCCGCCTTTGACCCGCACACGGTGCGCATGATGATCCGAATGTTCGACAGCGACCGCAGCGGGACGATCGGCTTCGCCGAGTTCTGCGGGCTGTGGTCGTTTCTGGCCTCGTGGCGGACGCTGTTCGACCGCTTCGACACGGACAAGAGCGGCAACATCAGCCTCGACGAGTTCAGCAACGCCCTCGTCGCCTTCCGCTACCGCCTCAGCGACCGCTTCGTCGAGCTGCTCTTTGCGACCTACGACAAGCGCGGCGAGGGCGTCATGAGCTTTGACCTCTTCGTGCAGGCCTGCATCAGCCTCAAGCGCATGACCGACGTCTTTAAGAAGTACGACGACGACCGCGACGGCTACATCACCCTCAGCTTTGAGGACTTCCTCACCGAGATCCTGAAGCAGCTCAAGTAAAGCTTGGCAAGCTCGATGACTTGAATGAGGTGGGGTCTTGCACGATGTCGTGGTGTTGCATCAGGTCCTTCGGTGTCCATCACGGATCTATAATGTAGTTATAGAGTAATTTCCTCTTTTGCAATGCTGCTTTGAATCACTGAGGGGAAACAACTGGGTAAATGAAGGAGGTTTAGATTGAGGTCTCATTGCACCTCGCAATACGTACAATGAATGAAGAGAGATACCCTGATCTGACATCCGAGTTTCCGCATTACAATCGTGATTTTGCTTTTTGAACGAAAATTCCACAAAATTCCATGAGAGCCAGGCCTGCTCTTCCAACTCCAAATCCTTCTATTGTGAATCCAAAGATCCCAAACGAGTGAGTGTTCACCCTGTCGAAGGAGGGGGTATAATGCCATATCCATCCATAAACACCAAGCTTCAAGAACAATAGTAAAGAAAATATCAAGACTTCTCCCTACAACATCTCCTCACAGTCGTCAACCTGAACCACCTCGCAAATTCCGGATGCCGCAAGCCAACACCGTATCTGCCATCAAACCATAGCCATGACCTCTCCGAGGTTCCTCGGCTCCATATCTCTGGCTTCGATCGTGGGAGACAGACCCATAGCTGCGAGCGTTTGGGCCTTCATCCGCTCATCATTCTGCTTCTGATCAACATTCCACACACCCTCGCTCGTCAAGACGACTTCCTCGCCGCTCCCCAGTGCTAGGACCTCCGTGCCCTTGTTCCCGACCTTGCTCTCCTGGGCGGGGCTGAAGTGCCCCTTCCTTGGACTCACCACGCTCTCGACCTCCTCGCGCGCCCATTTCCGCGTCCGCAGCAGCCCGGTCGCCAGCCCTCTGACATCCTTCTCGCCATCGTGAGCGCTGATCCACGCCCGCGCGCCGAGCTTCGTCGCCGTCTCGGTGCCGGCCGGGGCGCCCAGCAAGACGTTGCCGCCGAGCCACCAGGGGTTGCTGACGGCGTCGAAGCAGTGCAGCAGGGCAGTCAGCGGCAGTGTGGCTTCGGCCACGAGGTGGGAGGTGGCGTACGCGGCCAGGCTGGCGTACGAGATACCATGGGGCGAGAAGACTACCGACAGCGTCCGGTCGAGGGCGTGCGGTGACGAGGAGGAGAGGACCTGCGTGAGCGGGAGGGAGGACACGGAGCGCACGGAGCGGAGGGATAGGTCTGGCGATGCGGGTGTGGGTGGTATTGTGAGCTGGGACTCTGGGGACTGGGCCCGATATTGGCTGTTGCCGCTTGCCTGGCGGGAGCTGGGTTTCAAAGTAGACAGCTGGTGGCCTGAGAAGAGCGACGAGAGCTGGGAGTAAGACTTGTGAGATTTGGGGGTTGGAGGAGGCGTGAGTAGCGCTGCGCTTCCAATTGGTGTAGCTGCATGGGTTAAACTGGGTTTCCTGGCAGATATCGATGCTATGCCTTGTGTTGGAGGTGGCCGATATGTAATCCCAATAGCACCATGAAGGCCGGATATGTCGCGACGCTGTGGTATGAAAGCAATAGTAACATCTCCGGGCTCACCTCCGGGAACGATGGGTGGCACGCGAACCCTCGTTATCGTTTGCCGTCCGGTGAGTCTCGGGTCCTCCCATCTTGGGATCGTTCGCACCTTATCCCGCTCGAAGTGCCGCCAGCTCCGAATCAGCCGTGCAGATGCGGGCTCGGCCAGGATGATCGTCTTCGTCCCCGATGGTGGGAGCTGGCGGAGTGTTGCCTCATTGCAATGATCTGACTTATGCTGAGATATGATCACGAGATCAGGCTCGGGCAGCTCTTGAAGTGAAGAGACACAAGCTGGTTCTTTGTGTGTGGTTATTGAAATCTTGGAATGAAATATCTTCGAGGCTCCAGTAATCCAAGGATCTATCAAGATTCGAAAAGGCTCTGGGCAGATGCCAGGAGCTGGATTTGCGATGACGGGCTCAAAAGAGAGGAGAAATGAGGCATCCGTGTTCAAATGCTTGACAGTCAGGGCCATGACAACAACCTCGTGAATGACTGCGCTTAGAACTCAAATAGTTGGGCACGACGATAGAGACAAGTGGTCTTATAAGGTCTGGCTGATCGCGCGCGGAGCTTGACGCTGAGAAGGACGGCCAACAGCAACTTCAAAGTGCTCTTTAATGCATGACAGCCAAGGTCTGGGTGTCGTGGACGAATTGTTACGAAACGGAACGGAAATGTCGATCTTAAAAACAACCTCGCTTGAGAGACGTCGAGGTGGAAACAAGGCTAGCCAGGGTAAGGCAATATCTTGGAGCCAAGCAAGAGCTGAGGCGGAGATAATGACACAGCGTCGCAAAAGAAGGAAAGAAATTGATACTTATTTCGTCGAGGAAGGACAGCCTGCAATATGAATGGCTGCCGATTGTAGAAATGGTGTGCATCCTTGCACAATCATAGAGACTAGCAGTGAGAGGATACACTGTGAATAAGTGGAATGTCATTGACCTACGCGTGTATTGTTGCTTCCACCCACTTGATCATCCGCACATTCGTTTTGCTGGATTGTGGCGGTATGTGATGGGGGAAAGTTGACGCGAGTACTTACACGAGACGTCTAACGTGGACGGATGATGCTGGTCGAGTCCGTGCCAGGGGTGCCATCGCCAGCACACCTACTTGTGGACACTTGCACCAGCCAAGGTAGGGGCACTTCCACCTGGGGGAGACACAGAAGTCTGAGCGAATCGGGAGAGCCAGGTGCCGGCAGCAATTGCTTGAAACCTGGCGGGCGTGGCTTGCATCGATGTTGCCGGATCTCCCTCCACTTGCTTTGTTCCTTGCATGCCTGCCAAAAGTTGGAGTCATTCTTGTTAGATCATGCGCAGCTGAAGCAACGTTCCGAGGAATGTTGCGAATGTTACGCCACCTATCCATCTTGTTGTTTTGCTCAACTCCACGATCAAAGAGCGCGAGATAGTAGCTGAATGTCGAGCATCAGGATTTAGTGATGAAGACCGTTACAGTGCCCATCCTGTCATCAATAGCTGCGGTGCATCTTTGGCTCGATCTGCAGCATCGGTGTCTGTGCAACGGTCTCAGTCGTGTACACCGCGCTGATAGGCCTCATTCTGCCGTCCTGCAAATGAACTTCATGTCGTACCGCGGGGATGTCTGAGAGCAAATTGCGGTCATGATCAATGCTGTCGACACGACAAAGCGCACTTGTCCGCATGCTAACCTGTGTGTCTTATCATGCCAATCATGACACGACACCGTTCTGCCTCTGTTTTGCTCATTGTGCTGTGAGAGACTGTGCTGCCGATGTTCTTCCAGAATGGACTGTCAGACCAGTCGAGGCTGTGCTGCTTCAAGTCGCCAGAGCATTCTTTGCTGGCCAAACGCAAATAGCTGCTGTTAATGTGCGTTTCAACACCTACTTGGTCAGGCTTTCTTATTAGTAGGCTGGGCAAGTGGTTTTCTCCTTTTGAAAAGCCTTATGATGGTGCAAAGCCGTGATGTCCGTGTTGGAGGCGCCGCAAAGGAGGTGTCAGAGACATAACCGGCTTTGGGGTCTGGGAGGCGCTGATGAGCAGTTTAGCGCATCCGCTCCCAGAAGCAAGGAGCTTGGGATCGGGTGATGTCGAGGCCAAGAAGAGACAGCAAGGTCCTATTAGATGGTCCTTTAAGAACACAGGCGACAAAAGCCTGTTCTGGACTTGGTGTCGCAAAAGTGTCCTACCAAAATTACAGACTCTTCTTCCACCAAGGCCAGATAGGCAGTTGTACTCTTCCGCCAGGGTAATAAACGTTAGTTCTTGAAGGGTGAAGTTACTCAATGTTGAGAGTCGTAACACTATCAAGCCCTCGAATACATCGTTCATTACGATAGGTCTATCGACCTCTACAAAGGTAATAATAACCCCTTGTTGAGGAGGTAGTGACACCCTGCCGAACTAACCTTTATCACCCTGGCGGAGGAGTAGTGCCCCATCATTGCCTGTCTCGTGAGCATCTAAGTGCGAAAGTGAAGAAATCGAAAAGCACAGCAAAAGCTCTAAACCGTACCTGTCAGGAAGGTGATGTGGTGGTGAGAGGCTAGCGTGCACTGCAAGACGAGACTGGCCATTGCTGCATGTAACGTGCAATACTGCACTGCAATAGCGAAATGTGTGTGGGTGAGATGATGCCCGCTCTTATGCCACGGTCGCTCGCCTGTGGGAAGGAGCGACCTCACTAGGAGACTAGGTAGTAGGTAGAGGTCTAGATTGGGGACGCACCTGCACAACTCACCTTATCCATGGATTGCACCTTCCTTCCCCTATCTTATCCTCTTATCAGACAAGCCGGACCTTCCAAACTAGCCCAGTTGATTGCTACAGCTTAGCGGGAAAAAAGGGCATGTGATTATCTGCTTAGGACAAGAGGCGTTCAAAAGATGATAGCCTGATGAGCCCCGCCATCTGGATGGCTACTGTAGTTGTCACGACCCTGCTAGGGCTGTCCATTGGTACAACTTGAGGCCCACTCGAACCCCTCCCAAGCAAAGCATCCCAGGCAATGAATGTCTGCCTCTATGGAGCCTGGCAAGCCTGGGTAGAGCTCTAGTCGCAGAGAGCTGGAGACCCTTGGAGCTTGGAGCCGAGCTCCAATGGAGCCTCAAAAGGTCGTCCAAATCGCTCTTCCACATTATTTTCGGGACTTGTTTGCCAGACCAGTCTGGCCGTCTGCAAAGAAAAGAAAGGGAGTCAGTCAGCCAGCCAGCCAGCCAGCCAGTCAGTCAGTCAGTAAGATGGGATGCTGGTGGGTGGCCTCGGAAAGGCGGCGGTCTCGCGAGGATGGTGTCTCTGCTTCAGGGACCACCTCTCTGACCTGCGCCATGCTGCACCTTGGTCCTCCTAAGCTCTATGCGAGCTCTAGCTGGGATTGGGGAGCTTGGGCTCTGGGAGCTCGTAGCTCTAGACTGCGTGCTTGGGCCAATCATGTTTCCCCATTACCACCTCGCAGCCGGGCAGCTGGGGACGGCGGGAGGCAAAAGGACTTCTCCCTGGCCTGCGCCTGACGAAGCTCCGCCAGCCATTTAAGACAATCTTCAAGACACACCCCCACCTGCTGCTGGTGTTGCGTTCTCGATCCGGCAGACACGCCATCCGCCCTCTCCTGCATCGAGTCAGAACTCTCGACCGGACTGGACTGGGCTTGCCCTGGCTCGAGCCTGAGTGACTCGACCACTCAGGCAGTCGGCCCTGAATTGGCGGCATCTGGGCCAATTGCTCCTCCAGTGCGCGGGCCATGGTGCCGGCTTGCTGCGCCCAAGCCGACTCGAGTAAGCTACCTCCCTATAGGTACCTAGATAGTTCTCTGGGTTTCATTGTCGCTCGTCAGATCCAGTTCCCTTGCTGGATTGGATGACAGCACAGTTTGACCAGGCCCGTTACAAGACGAGACACCGCCGTTCAGCTGGAACGAGATCGGATGCCTGCAGGTATCAGGTATCTCTCGACTGCCAATATGCTGCGGTAGAGACCTGAGGAGACCTGGCTACCCTGCTTTCTTTTTTCCATTCACCCCTCCCAGGGCTTAGTCTGGTCAGTTAGTGGGTGTTGATGTGCCGGCTTTGACAGCGCCTCTGGCGTATACTGGCGTAGAGGGTCTCATATCGTTGGCTGCGCATCCCCCTGCCCTGGATCCCGCCGGAGGACTACAATGAGGGGAAAGCTTGGAAAACAGCTTCTCCATTTCCGGATATCCCCTCAGCCTTCGTTGGGTAGCTAGGATGCTCTCGAGCAGGATAGCTCTGATGCCTTCGGTATAACCAAGGTATTATTTCTGAGTGCAAGCAAGACTTATACGGCAGCCGCGGCTCAGGCCAGGTCAAAAGCAAAAAGCCAAAAAAGGCAGGGGTGCCTCCCCAGCCGGCTTCTGGTCCCCTTGCCACCACCACCTCTGACGACATCACTGTCCCGGCTTGTTGTGCTGAGAACGGACTGGGTGGGCTGCACCACCGAACCGTGGCTAAAGGTTTCTTCACCCCACGAACAGCCGCTTCGCCAATGCATGAGGCATGGTGAAGAAAGAATAGAGACAAGCCTGCAAAACAAAGGGCCGACAGACACATTTTTTCTCTCCATCTCCAGCTGCCCTTGATTGACACAGCACAAACCATTGAATGAACGAATGAATAAATGAATAAATACATGCTGCATAATCCAGAACCGCTATCCTCGTAGTGGTCCATGGGTGTCCTTGTATCGATGGGGTGATCGGAGCGACGGCTTCTTATTGCTGGAATGCTCTCTTCTGATTGATGAATTGGACGCAGGCCCTTCTGACCACCACCACCACCACTGCAGCTCCTTTGAGAGAGAGAGAGAGAGAGAACACCCATCCATTACCGGGACTGAAGCTGGTTATTGATACCTAAGCTTAGGTATAGGTAGCTGGCTGCTTCCGGTTGACAAGTCGTCTACACTACTATGCAGTAGATGCTCCTCGAGACTCGACTCGACTCGACTCGGACTCGACTCGCCTCGAGTCGAACAGGAGGAGCAGAGCAGCAGCTGGAAATAGTCACCTCCACTCCCCCTTCACTTGACACACCCTCCCCCCTCCTCTTCCTCCTCTCTTCGCCTCTCGTCTCCCAATCCTCCTCCCTTTAACCAGGAAGCAAGCCCGTCAAGTCTCCGTCCGTACGTACCTTATCCATACAGCCTCTCCGGTGGTCTGCCCGGGTTCTGGCGCTACCTATTCGGTCCTGCCTTGGCCTGTCGTATCTCTCCTCTCCTCCCTCTCATGCTTCCCTCCTTCTTCCAGTCGTTCTTGACCTTACCGACCTGGACCTGATCTACCTACCCACCTTATCCAACTTATCGCCCATCCCACACACACCTACACCTGCCTTAACATCCCTTCCACCCTTTCCCCTCCCCTCCTCAGCTGCTAAGGTATGACTTACCACCACCACCCACCACCCTCCTCTTCGAAACACCTCTTGTAACACCCAGCACAGCACCGACGGAGGAGCTCAGAGCTCTCTCCCACACATACATTCCCACACGAAAACTCTCGTCGTTTTTTGGCTTTGGGCGTCAAAAGGCCAATGCGACAGCTTCACTCTCCTCGCCCGCCCGCCGCCTTACCATATCAATTGACTGCCGACCTCTCTATCCTTATCGACAAGAGCTCCCGCCCCCCCATCCCCGCCAAAACCCCTCGAAATCGCATGGTGGGGTTAGGAACTGTTCAAGATGCCGCCCAGAACCTCCCTCACCTCGTCCTTTTCAATCACCGACTCGAATAACGAAGTCGTGTGTCCTCTCCGGAACCAAGATGGCTCTAGCTGTCGTAAGCGATGCATCGGCGTAAGTACCCCCGCTCCTCTTGCACCTGCCCGCCCGATCTCATCGGCAATGGGCATTGACAGCTCGAGATTGAGCTCGGCCATCGCAGTAGCTACTGTTCAACGATAAGATCTTCTAACATTCGTTGTCATTTCACAGGAGAAGCGGTATCGTTCCATGCAGGAGCATATTCGTCGAGCGCATCCCGAGCACTACATTTCCAAGCTCCCTGCGACTGAAGAGAGTTTTCTCCTGATGATCAACACCCCTCCAAGCGAGCGACCACCAGCCCAGCAGAGCTCCGTCCCCAACGGACCTCTCCGAACTGGTCATGCTGACCATGGAAAAATCTATCCACATGAACACAATTCTTTCTTCCGAGATGGCTCCAGTGCACCTGGTACACCGCGAAACATGGACGACTACCAAGGCGGGTCATTGCTTCCGGCGGCCAGCGCTGCTGCTGCCCTAGCTCAGCTGCACAACCACAAGATAGAGCCTGACTGGGAGTCTGAAGTCGTAAGCTTCTCTCATCTCGTCCAGCCATCTGGGGCATGTTTGTCTAATTTAATTCTTCTACAGGATTGGATGTCTGACACTGAGAGAAGGAGGATACCTCGATCTTCAATCGAGCTTCCTCCTATACAATTGAATAATTCAGATGTCACCAGTGAGCCTTTTCCAACTTTAAACTCAGGCAGACAGCGGGACATTCTGCCGTCCATCTTGTCTAATTCCCCCCCTGGTCGATCTTCAACGCTTCCCCCGCTTCAGCGGCCTCTTGGACCTACTCGTCCAAGAAAGCAGTCGGTCACAAAGAACCGATCGCAGCACAAGAAGCAGAAGTCTAAGGGATCGGCTGCCGATTGGTTAAAGCGTGGTAAGATCAATATTGCCGAAGACCTCTTGAGGCCTGGTAGCAGTGACCGAACCCGTCCTTATTCTGCCGAGCCGTCAGCTCGATCGCCGTGGGAAGATCTCATCGATGCTGCTGCTTCTGCCACCGAGGATATCGACGAAGATCGCACTCCAGTAAGCCATCTTATGAACTTTCGCCGCGTTGCGTTTGGCTTACATTGTGACCAGGTTCCGCAGTCTCCCATATCAATTCACCGGGCATCTTTACCGCCTTTTCCTCATCAGCACTTTTCTCAAAATCACTATCAAGCATCTCCATTACAGCAAGCATTGACTCCGCCACCCTATATCAATGAAGCTCCAGACCCTTTTCCCTCCGTTGAGAGCCAGGAAAGTGGGGAAAACTTCCATATCGAATCGCGTGGACTTTCAGATTCGTCACCCAGTTACTCATCACAGAACACACAGATATACTGTGCTGCATGTCAGGGCATCTCGCTTCTCAAAGACTCTTACGCCTGTACGGAATGCATCTGTGGTCTATGCCAAGCCTGTGTCGACGTCCTGATGGCTGAACAAGGGGCACGTAGAAAGTGCCCGCGTTGCGCTACAATCGGCGGTCGATTCAAACCCTTCCAGCTCGACATCCGGTGAGGCATGAACCAATCAACGATCACCCGTTTGATCTGAGATATAGCGGTCAGAGTTTTCTTTTCGTCCTAAAGTATAGGGGTTGTGGCATGACTGGCTGGCATTATACATTTTCCTATTTCACTCTTTTCGGATAGCATCGGAGGCATGGGTGGCGTTTCGTGTTTGAGTACTGCTGACAACACAGCTTGCGACGATGTTTTTTTCTCTAGGTTCGTGTTAGAATCGATGCTCCCTGGTCACAGACACCAGATGCGGGAGAGAAGTTTTGTTTGGTCTTTGGCCAATCTTTCCTTGAACTTTTTTGGTTTCAAAATGGGTCGGCTCAATGCTTTTCTGACTTTATAGGAGGCTTCGATTGCACACTCTTACGTCGACAAATGGCAGGCCAAAACTTACGGCCACATATTTCTTTTACATCTGCTTCTTGCTCCAGCACCGACGGAGGGGATATTCTCTTTCAATAGAGTGTCCTTTGGGGCTGCTTTGGGCGTCGTATACATACGTACTCAGTTAAGGAAAATGATGCTAAGAGATTGGGATATACTTCCGTTCCCATGGTCTCCTTACTATTCTGATGTTTCCTGATGTCCGAGGGCTCTACTATACACAGCTACCCTGTGAATATCTTCCCTGATCTTCAAAAGCTAGCGTCCAATTTATGGTTGACCGGGAGGATATGCGATCCTTGCCTTAGCCTTCTCTATCTTGAGCCCAGCACTCGAGGCTCGGGTTTCTAGTTCGAGATAATCTGCTTCGTTTGATCCGCTATAGCTGCAGAACCACCATGTTCATGGGAGAATGCTTCTTCGGGGGAGATCAAAGCACGACACCAAGCCAACATCTCACTCAGGTTCCTGCTCCTTCCACTTGTTACGCAATGCCTGGATGTCCATACCGCATTTCTCTGCCTTCTCCACAACCGCTCGAGCCTTTCCCACTACCGGCGCATCGATCATCTTGCCCTCGAGTGTCCAGGCACCTCGTCCCGCAGCACTCGCCTTCTCGTCCGCAATCACCACTCGAACGCTCCACGCAACCTCCTCCTCGTCCGGCGCGAAGAGCCGCTGCACCATGTCTACCTGTGACGGGTGGATGCACTGTTTGCCATTGAATCCCAGCGCCCGTCCATCGCGGCACTCCTCCTCCAGACGCGCCAGGCCCGCCTCCCCCTTGTATGATGTGCACACGAGATCGATCGTCGAAGGCAGCGAGAACGCACGCGCAGCCGTCGCGATCGCTGACCGTGCGTACAGAAACTCGCGCAGAGACGGCGACCGCGTTAGCGACAAGTCGAGGGCAAAGTCCTCCGCCGCGAATATCAGGCCTGAGAGATAGGGCGACGCGGCGCAGATGGAGGGGAGGTCGACGATGGCGCGGGCGGACTCGATAAGTGCGATCAGCTTGATCGGTTGTTGCTGTGGACCATTTGTGCTTGTGCTCGTGGTAGAGTCGGGTGACGTTGGGTGACGTTCGGGCGCAATGTGACGGAGCACATCAGTGACAAATGTGAGATCGGAAGCCGAGTTGACTTTGGGCACTACGATTGCTTCGAGGTTTGGTAGTGATGCAAGAGCAGTGAGGTCTTCGAGAGCATGAGGAGTGGACACGGCGTTGATGCGCGCTGCGAGCTCGCCTATCGACTTAGGCCGGGAACCGGAGCTGTGTATGCTGTTCAGATGATCGCGGAGCGCGGCCCGGGCGGCGGGCTTCTGACTGGGAGTTACGGAATCCTCAAGATCGTATGTCACATTGTCAGAAGCAAGAGTCAGAGATTTCGATAGCATCTTCTGCGACGAGGCAGGGACTGAGCTGCAGTTAGTTCACCTGTCGAGAAAGGCGGGCCATTGATCAAGGTATACCGTAGAGTAGTGCCCGTCGCAGCACGGACGAAGCTGGCGACGCCATCTTCAATCAATTGACCTGCAAATGTGAAGAATGTCCGAAACGCAAAAGAATCATGTCACTGTTCGTCACTCGAGCTACTTCTACCGAGGTTGCCAAATGCCGTCATTGTTCGTATCTCGATAACGAGTTGGTAGTACTGCCACAAGCCACCGCTCGAGGGGTGCGGATCAACCCATCCTCCAGTGCTCCGAACAGCTTACCGTAGCTTCATCGCAATTGGACAGGGGGTGGGTACCACGCTGCGTACCACCTCGCTGGAATTACGAAGCTCGAGGCAGCACCTGAAGAAGGACAACACCACGACATGAACAGCTGCCGCGTCGCTCGTTTGCCCTGATCCAAGCATTTCTGAACAGCCAACCATGGAATCTGCACAGGCCTCGCCAGGCTCACTGAGCTGGCGCTTGAGCTCGCATCCCATTACCCTTCTCACCTTCCTTGCCTTTCGAGTGTGTAAGTCTAGCCCGTCTCTGCTCCCTGTTGAAGCCGAGCATGATCCCCTTCCTGTGGGTGATTATGTCTGAGCATGCTGACGTTGCCATAATAGCAAGTTTACTAGTCTATCTCCTCGGCGCCCTTCTCTTCACAGATAACATGTATGCCTGCCATATGTGTCGACCGCGCAAGTCGACTCCCTTTCGAGCAACGAGCTGACACTTCTGCCCAGGGTCATGATCTTTATCGTCACCATTCTTCTACTCGCCGCAGACTTCTACTACCTCAAGAATATCGCCGGGCGACGACTGGTCGGGCTGCGATGGTGGAACGAAGTCGACCCGGCGACTGGCGACTCCAAATGGGTATTTGAGAGCAGCGAGCCTGGCACCAAAACCATCAATCCCACAGACAGCCGGTTCTTCTGGCTTGCAAACTACGTGCAGCCGCTGTTATGGGTGGGCTTGGCTATTCTGGCGCTCATAAGGCTGCGCATTACATGGCTACCTCTTGTTGGTATGTTGTTCTGTTGATTACGCCGTGCATTCGCGATCTTCTGGTCGTCGAGAGCATTCAAATTATTCGACCGTTCCTAGAAGACTTGGACACTGACAACCTCTGTAGCGATTGCACTGGTATTGACCATCACCAATGCCTTGGCTTTCTCTCGATGCGACAAGTTCAGCCAGGCTTCCGACCTAGCGGGCAGCGCGTTCTCCTCGACTAACCTGGCCGGCAACATCGCCAGTAACATGGTTGGGCGTTTCTTCACAAGAAACTAGATCTCGATATTGGAAAGAAGGTGAGATGAAGATCAGTGTGACGAGGGAGAATCGACCATTCTATCTTCGAGCATGAGTGCTTGAATAAAGGGATGCCTTATTTCTGGGGTCCAACGAGCAGCTTTATCATTGCTGACGGCGTCTACTGGCGAGAGCGGGCATTTGCGGAAATATCCAGTGTACATTACAATACGGTCCATGGATGTGTTATAATTCATTGTATCACTTGCGTGTCTTGATATTCTCTGTGCTTCTGCAGTTGTTTGCTCCCCACGTCATGTCCAACGACCCATTGCCGAGCCTCTCAGCTAACAAGTGAAATCCATTACAAGTAGTACTGCCTCGAGTTACCGGGAATTTTGGGTCGGCTGCCCTCTTGGGTAACCTCGATTAGGCTGGACATCACTTCATAAAACGAACGTCTGCGTAGGGCAAGGCATGATGATGGTATGGTATTTCCAACTCCAGTCAGAAAAAAAACAAAAACAGTCAAAACGAATAAAGAGAGATCCCAATATCCCATGTTCGCGCCTCCCTTTTTTTGCCTATAAACGATGGCGAACACGAGACAGAGGGGCGAGACTACCTCCCCCTGCCGGCCTCCCGGTCTGCGATGGCGGCATCCAGCTGCCGCTCCTCCTCTTCCAGCCGCCGGATCTCGTCCTCCGTCATGCCCTCCTCCACCAGGTGCGCGTACCGCCCGGTGATGGGCTGCTGCGGCGACACCGACCTCGCCGCCGCGGGCTGTGATGCGGGCTGTGGGCTGGGCGCTCCCCGTTCCGACTGCTGCTCGTAGTGCACGGGCTGCGACTGCTGCGTCTCGGGGGTGCCCACGACGCCGCTGCCGCGGTGGTCGCTGTACGGCGTGTACGACCTGTCCCCGATGCTGTGCGGGTGCGGGCTGGGCGCCATGATCGGGGCTGCGGCGCCAGCGAAGTGCGCCGAGTCCCGCCCGTTCGGCAGCGGCTGTTGCAAGGACATGCTGCCGTTCATGCCGTTCATGCCCGCTGGGTGCTGCTGCTGCTGGCTGTCGTCCGAGTACGGGCTGTGCGGCGACGACTCGGTGACGCCGGCGTTGGCCTCCTTCTCGGCGATTAGCTCCTGCGTGCGGTGGTGCCTGTCGCTGCCGTAGGGGGCGGCCGAGACGCCATCGCCGCGCCGCCGTCGGAAACAGAAGTACCAGATGGCGGCGCCAAGAAGGACGAGTCCGATAACACCACACGCCACGGCGATGCCGGCGATGGCACCGGTCGACAATCCGCCACTCTTCTTCGTATCGGAGGATACGGAGGCCGAGCTATCTGTGCTTGCCGGCCCCGAAACCGTAGAGGTCAGGGCTACGCTGGTGCTTGCGGTGGGCTCGGAGACGGACGTCGTCTGTGTGCCCGAGGTCACCGAGGGAATCTCCTCCGGGAGGTATGGCTTGTTGGAGTTGAACTCTTCCTGGAGGGCTTTGAGCTGGGAGAGATCGGTGACATTCGTCACTGTGAAAGTGCGACTATAGGTGGCTCCTGTTGAATTCCACAAGACTTTGAAATGCAGTCTCTTGCCGAACCCGCCATTAGTATCAGTACCGATCGGGATGAGGTCACGGATGGTAATGCTCCCTCCCGTGTTATTCTGGTATGCTATATCAAATAGGACGGCGTCAGCCAGTAGTCTTCCCAAGATCGACCCTCACCGAAAGCGGCTTCGCAGGTCCAGTCTTGTTCACCACACTCACCGTCTACATCCATTTTAACCTGTGAGGTCGCCCGCTTGGCGCCCTTCGATCCTGCTGCCACGACATTGTTCACGGCTGCGGTCGCAGGTGGCATTCCCACCTTGCCCTCTGGCGACTGATGAACGATATAGTCGGCCCCTTCGCCTATGAGCCACACATCTGTCACGGGTGCGAGCTTCGTCGCGGTCCAGTAAAACGTCCTCGGCACCGGGCCATCCAGCTCATCCACGCTGTAGACGGCGGCGTCGGACCCAGAGTCTGTCGTGAAGCTCGAGTCATCGAACTGGATGATGATGTTATCGCGTGCAATCTGACCGGGGTCGTCCACATTTGCTGCCACGATCCGGGAGACGAAGCATGCCGCTGCCGCTACCACTGCCGGCCATGGTCGTGTGGTTGAATGTATTCGCATCGCAATGGAACAGGCTCGCGTCCCTCCGCGGCCCACCTCTCTCTTTCTCCTGCACTCTCTTCCTGATGGTCAAGCCTTGCCTTGCCTGTCCTTCTCGTCACTTTCTTTTCTCGATTTAGAGCCAAAGCCTCATCGCCAATCCGTCAGGGCCCTGCGGAAAAAAGACTTCGATATGTCCCAACGCGGAAGTAATGTTCGAAACGGGCGCGCGTGTACAATCGATTCGACTTGCGGGGTGATGCAAGCAGAACCAGGGCAGAGTAGAGACTGATTGATTGAAAGAGACGAAAATGCCACAGCAAAGCAGCAAGAGAGTGAAAGGCAGACAGTGTAATGTGGTAAGACGGGGCTTGTCTCCTCCGTCAGCTCAGCTGAGACGGCGAAGGATCGGGGGGTGCGAGCCAGCCACAGCAAGGGTTCGTTCACACGCTTGACCTTCTGGCCCATTCACTTTGCTTTTCCCCCTCCTCGCACTCGAGGCTGCGCCTCGTAACGGAACAGACCGTGCAAATCCCCAATGGCCCCAGCGATCGGCCTACCTGCTTGAGCGTTGCGGGTGTCTATGTAGAGATGGCCAGCTTTGAAGGCGGCTCGTTGTGCTGTTGCTTTGCCTGTGACCCCGTTTTGTTGGCGGGGATGTTACTCCTTCAACTTAACGAAAGTGATGAGCGGCAACTCCCCTTCTACTACCGCTGTCCCAGCGTCTACGTGCATTCAGATGTATAGTGTTCGATCATGTGGAAGATACTATTCATGGATCACGTTTGAGATAGACCGCCCGAGCAACCGACTCTTTGGCAGTGTGGCCAGTATGCGGCTCCATACTGTGTAATCTCGAAACCCAGCAGAGGAAAGGTCAGCAACCAGCAGGGCAATGCAGCGAGACTGGGATGGGCAGTCAGAGAGATCTGCTTCTAGAGCGTAGAAAACCCGGGTTTTCTTGAAGGCCCCGGCTCTCCTTTGTGCCTCGAGGCTTGGAAAGGGGACTTTAAAAGGGACGGTAGAGCCTTACGGTCAGCAATGCCAATACTGCCAATGCCAATAATACTGGAATCAAGAGAGTGAAGAGGCGTCTGGATAGGCTCAAGGCGAGAAAAAAGGGTCCTCCGCCCGCCGCCCAACAGTGGGACTAGACTAGCGCATAATCTAGTGAGTGTTAGGCCGGGGCTCCACCCAGTCACAGGCGGCCGCACGCTGCTTGTTCGCGGAGGCGCTGCTGCTGTGTGCCTCCTATGCAGTACCTAAGTAAGTCCTCAGCAGCGTATGATCGCCCGGGCTGATTGGCCTGGCTGCTCTGTCTGTGTTTGTGTACTATGCAGTATATGTGTGCAAGAGAAGTGAAGTGGTGCAGTGCAGTGAGTGCAGAATGGGTGCCTTTCTCCGTCTCACTGCGCCAAGCTAACGTTTAACATCCTCCAACACGGAGATAATGTGCCTTAGGTATCCCATCCTCGACCAGACACCCACGGGCAGCACCTACGGATTCGGGATAGGCCCGTGTCATACTCGATGCTCCGTCTCCGTATTGGCTGCTGTTTACGCGTGGTACGGCATCTTTTGTTGGGAGAAGGAAAGTGAAGAGAGGAGAGAGAAGGGGTGGAGAGTCAGAAAGGCATTCATTCACAAATCAAACGCATAACAGAGCCGGATCCTCTATGTTTGATGAGAGACATCCCGCCAACAACCTTGAAAGCATCTCTCGATTGGAGTGCAACCAACACGAAGGAGCACAGATCACAGGAGGAAGCTGGGGCTGAGCTATTTTAATGTTTAAACTACACGGCCTACACTACCACGACTACCACCCCATCCCGGCCGCTGCGGCTGATGGTTTGATGGCTGGGCTGCATTAGTCAAGTCGAGACCAGCCCGTAATCAGAGCTAACCAACGGCACCGTCTCCAATTTATTGATTTGAGCCTGCTGCCAATAATTGAATCCCACACTGCCGTTTGCACCGTAGCGGCGAGTGTAACCTCCTACTATTAACGCATCATCTCGTGTCTACAAGTGGCAGCCTATATGTTGCACCCTAACTTCCTCGAAAACGCTGCCAAGACCATAACCTATGTTGGATGGGGCTGGATTTGGTTCTTCGTTGTCTTCTTCTGCTCCGAGTATTGTAACAAACAAATTTCTGGACGCTTGCTTCTTGACTACCGGAACTCGTGATACTTCGTTGTATTCGACCATTACAGCTTGGGCATCATTCATAACTAATGCATCCTTGAGCAGAGACAAGTTCCTTGCCATTAAGCCACCACGACCGAGTCATTGACATTTCATTTCCACTGTAATAAAGCAAGCTAGACCAGCTGAGACATTTGGATTATTGTCCCAAGCACTTCGTGGGAACCCAGGTTCTTAACCCACCCAGAACTCACATCAAGCGGACCTTGAACACATCCTGATATGTTCCCTTTTGAGATACAAACCCAGCTACACACCAGGGCCCAATTTGTAGCTCCGGAACTGAGAGAAGTCTGTATCGAGCTCTCTCGGTATCCATATGCATATTTCTACCAGACCAGAGTGTCACGGCCTTGTGCCACCATCCCTGATTATCAAGTGACCTTTGACGCAACTTTTCAAGCAGAGAATCTGCATTCACGGGTCGAGCCAACCGTATGACATCGGACAGCTCTGCTCGCAATGGCTCAGAGTCCTTATCCAGCGGTGGACCCCCTTCCTTTTCGGCCTTCCTCAGCAGGAAGAAGATATCGATGTCTGCTCCAAAGTCCAAATATAGCTCGAAGATGTCTAACAAATTCGTGGAAAACAACCCGTAAGACGCTAAAACTTCACCTACAATATGTAAAGCGACCAGATGAGATATGACAAAAGTGGCTCGATGTTGCTCAGGCACATAATTGCTGTAGTGAGCGTAGACCTCGCTACATGGAGAAGCGCCTTGTTCCAGAAGATATCGGCTTAGATGCACACTCCCTCCGAAAGCAGCAGTAAAAAGTAAACTCATACTACCTGCAGAATCGTTTGTTGTGCTCAGGGCTTCCGGGTCAAGTTGATCCTGGACAAATCCGGTGGCGCCGCAGAGAGCCGCCCAGTGCAAAAGCGAGCCTTCGAAAGTGATCAAACCATCGCCGTGTGCAAGCCGGGTTGGCCCCAGAAACACATTCCGATTTTCGGGGCCCCAATTGAGGTTGACACCGTCTAGAAGTCGTCCCAGAGAGAAATTCGACTCCTTCATTAGCTGTGTTTGTTTCTCCAGGATTATCTTGGCATCCGAGAAGACACGATCTACCAATCGTCGACCCGTTACGGGACCAGCCTTGGTTATGCAATATAGGTGTTGCATCATGTCCTCCCATTGCCATCCGCCAAGAGCCCATTTAGGAGAGTCAAGAACTGGCTTGAATTTAAGCTCGGCCAATTTCAAGTGTGTAAAGATAGATGTTTGCTCGAGATGTTGCTGACGCTTCAATACTCCAGGCTCATTGACCCAATCCTCCTGGAGAAAATCCCGAACACTTCGGTGTAGGAAACCGACACTGTATCTCCAATAATGGCACTTTCGTCTGTATCGTTTTAGTATCTCTGTCATCTCCAGTAACCCACTTGTAAAATATTGAAGCATATGTCGCACACGCTCTTGTTCTGGAGCTACTCTCTTCATCCGGCATGATCCTCCACGGGGTACCAAAAGGAAAGAGCTCTTGCGAGTTGTCCTCATACCAATTGGCATCTTCAAGAAAGGAAAATGCGATCGCATTACGGTCATCTTCATTTTGACACTCAAGTGCCAAAAGCAGCAGAGTCTCGGCGCGCCTGGAAATAGACGGTGACTGCTTATTAACTTGAAGAAGTTGACTAAACAGAGCCCCTAGATCATCGGGGATTTCATTAAGCCGTTGTTGCAGCAACGCCAGGTCATTTTCGTGGGCAATGGCTGTATGAAGCAGTGACCTCACCACCAAGACTACCCAGAGGAATACACCCTCCGCTCGCTCTACGATTTGGTTGCCAATTGAAAGACATTTTTCTCTTGTCGCTTCATGGTCCTGTCCTGCCAGTGTCTTCTGAAATTGTTGGGTGACATACTCCGATATGTCATTACGGTTCAGCTCGTGCAGATGTGTTATTATGCCAGAGACCTTGAAAGTATCGAGGAAAACGGTGTGTGGCCTGGCTGAACAAATGACCTTGATATGCTCCGACTGACACCATCCTCTCAAGGTCTCAGCCAGCCACAGATGATCGACATTATTGCCTTCGTACTCATCCATACCATCAACAAAGTAGCATATGCGATATTTCTCCTCAACGAGAGATATTATGCGCTCAAATGCGTTCTTTAACTCTGTAAACCTGAAAATCTCAGGCTCAAATCCGCGGCTTTGGCTCATGACCTCCTTTGGGAAAAGCAGCCTGGCCATCTCAGGGCATTGTCTGAGAGTGTGAAATAGGACAGAGCGATAGAACCCTTCGCAGGACCTTTCAAGAGAGTCACCCGATTTCCAGAAGAAGATTTTGACTATAATCAAGCTTCTCTGTCTTGCCTCAGCCCATTCTTGAAGCTTCTGATGGACCTGAGGACTTCGAGCTAAATACTTCATCATTGTCGACTTGCCGCAGCCAGCCTTTCCACAGATGAAATACGTCCCCCTATCTTGTAATAGGAACTCTTGGAAAGCATTTGCAGTATCTTCATGAAGGATGGCTTCCTCGCTGTCTTCCTCGCTGTCTTCCTCGCTGTCTTCTGGACAAGAATATGACGAGATACTTTTGGCCTCATTTCCCAATGGAAGGTTGTGTTCTGCTGTGCCTGAACCTACATTATCGCCAAAACCGTCATCCAAACGAAGTTTCGAAGGCTCTTCTTGGGAACTGCCTTCGCTGTCAACATCCAAAGGATCAGTATTCGAGGAGTTGGTTGTTTCAACCTCTGCCAGTTGATCCTCGTTCTCGGCAACACTTTCGCAACTGAGCGAACCTTTGTCGGATGGTGACAGCCATGCTGTCATCCATGTGAATGTGTTTTCT